TGTCCGAAAACTATGTGCTTTATGGTGTTTTCGGGGTTGCGGACAGAAGTGTCCGAAATCCCTGTGTGCGACAGAGATTTCGGGGTAAAGCCTATGGTTAGGTGGGGCACCGCTCATGTCCGAAGACCCTGTGTTCGACACTCGGCCCATGGCACTTACCCTCTTTGGCCGGCGCCCGGCTGTCAGGCGTAAGCCTTTAATCTTCATTCAATATATCCCGTCCTTCCCACAAGTGATGAAAGACCTATCCAAAAATTTTACTCCAAACCGACCGAAAAAACCCAGGCCTAAAACCGAGAAAGAACTAGCGGAACTACCGGGAAAGAACAACACAGTAAGCCCCCCTGAAGGAAAAAAAATTGAACATGAGCCCAAACGATCCAAAACCCCAAGAGTTTTTGCCGGCCTTGGGCCACCACTCATCTGGCAGTTCCTGGAAGCCTTCCCAGCTTTCCAGAGAGGGAAATCGGGTCAACAGCTCCTGGCATCACATGGTCGGCCCCAAAAAGAAGGCGGTGAAATTAGGGATGACATGGATCACATCGGTGTGGACATGGATCACATTGGTGTGAGTCTGCGATGTATTTGTTCTGTCTAGTTTGGAATGGCTCTTTGAGCCATGGAATTTTCATCACCGAACAGGACCTACTCCGAAGTTGGCAGTGCACCTTAGGCATGCCCCCCCACTTCCAAAGCACATCACATTCTGCACAAATGTTCAGGAACAAAGACTAGACACGGTGATGCATGCAAAGCACAGTCCAATCTTTTTGGAGATTCTGGCTCTGGTAGTAAAGGACGAAACAGACAGAGGCTGGAGTTTTTGTGAGCCCTCTCTGCTATGCACGCTCGCGGCTCTGCGAGCGTCTGTTCGTTTCACGCCGCGTGCTGCGGTGGTCCCTCTGACCTCCTTGGAGCTGCCGGTGTCACATGGAAAGATGCAACGCCTCGGTGGCACCGCTGAAAAACGTCCACAGTTCAACGGCGTCACCGGACCGGCGAGTGGAGCGTTGGTTTTGTGGGTTCAGTGAGCTTGTGGCATCCCCATCCAAACCCCCCCAAGGAAAGGCCGACTTTGGCATAGATCCAGTCACCGTGGCAAGATCCAGCCGAAGGCTCGGAATCTGTGAGACTACGGTGGTGGCATCAACCCACTAATTAGCTCTGTCTACCACCTGCAAGTGAATCAACCTTTTTGAGCCTAGAGCTCCTCGACCCACCAACCACCTTGACACCCGCGGCATCCCACCAAAAATAACCTGGAGAAACACATCACACCCGGGCCGGCCGCCGCCGAACATCGCAGACGTCCGGTCTGAGGCTCCGGTCTCGGTGTGGAGATGGCTCACGCAACCTTGGACGCATGGACGGGGCTGGCGAGGATGAACCAGGTGGGAATCCAGGTGGTGGAAACTGTTTCCGAAGAACTGTTACGGATTCATCTCCTCAACTCATCCACCCTTTATGCTCTAAAAGTCAGATCTCCCACTGTTCATTCCGAAACCAACCTTCGTAGCCGTCCTCTTGCTCCCTTCGAAGCTACGGCCCGTTCACGCGCCCCCGTTCGTAGCACCCGCACCCGCACACCCACGGCCCGCACACCCTGGGTGCCCCAGGCGCCGTGGCGACTCACCGAAGATCAGCAGCGTGGTCTCGAGCGCCCGGCTCAACGGGGACGAAATCACCACCTCCGTCGGCACGGAGCGATCAGCAGGGACCGGGGAGCGGGAGTGGGGTTGAGACCTGTGGACTCCGATCGAGTGGATCGCTAGAGAGAGGTAGTGAGTGGTAAAACAGTGAAAAAATGTATTGTTGAAAAAATGCTGAAAACCTATATACAGTAAAAACATCTCATATTCCTAATGCCATTAAACAAAAAAAACGTAAACCCAACCGACCCAAGTGCCGGGTCATTCCGAAGATCCCCAAACGCCGCTCCTCGCCGCTCGCCTCCACGGTGCGCAGGGTGTGGGACTCGGAGCTTCGCCTCGGATGTCGTTCGACTCGACGTGGGACTTGGCTCCGCCGGGGTGGGACGGTGATGCGTTCGCTGTACAGGGTAGACGTTGGAACTGGTTCTTTTGGTTGGAAGGATTAACTATTGCTAGATGGTTTGTTCGGATCCTCCAAGTGGCCAATCTTCGACTGGTGCCCATCTTCAAATTACCACGGACCTGCTTCAGTGTCGACGACCCGGCGCTTTTCTCCCTGCTGCTCATGGCGGCTGAATAGAACGTCTCCACCTTCGGTGGAGCACTAGTGATCAAGAACCAAGACCACGTGCGGCAGGGCAATGAAAGGGCCAGGCGAGCCAAGTCGGGAGGGCTGCAGGCGTGAGAGAAGGGGTCAAACCGAACACGCGGAAGAAAACACCGGTGCATTGGTTCCTGAATCACCGAAAGTCTTTCTTCATCTTTCTTCACAAAGCCTCCCCCGAACCGGGAGTGATGCCAGTTCGGCATCTGCCCACCAGCCCTTTCAAGCGCGCAAGCAAACAGAACTACAGGCTGTCACACCGAGTTCTCTGTGTCATCTCCGGCGCTACCCATCAAAGAACCGTCAAGAGCCAGAAATGGAATGCCACCTTCACCAACATGTTATAAAGTAAACACCCATCCATGTGCTAAGAAAATACAACAACTCCAAGCCTAATTATGCCTATGCTGCAATTCTGGGTCTCCAACTGCGACGGTCGGGCAGTCGCAAAGAAGCCATCATTGGTCTATGCAGTCTGTGCACTAAAAATATTCAACAAACAGAACCAGCCTCCCGCTAGTCCACACGACTACTGTCGCGGCGGCACACGCAAATTGGTGCCAAACACACAAGTTCAAATGAGGTCAACGGAGTCACAGGAGTCACGTGGTTTTCAAGCACTGTCGCAGGTGGTTCACGGACCAGGTCGAGGTCCTGATGTCAGGTCAGTCGTTAGAACCACAAACACCACCTCAGGACCTCGAGGTCCTGGAAAGATTCAAAGGCGTATTTAATGTCTGTGATTATCTGGGAATGTGTTTAGAGTTTTTTGGAGCTATTGAGGAGACATGTTTTCCACGATGTTGGAACATTGCGGGAGTCCTCTATAGTATCACAAGGCGCCGAATTGGGTGGGTCTTGAGGGTGGTACCGGTGACGAATCCAAATGGTTGGGATACTGTAGGGCTCCTTCTTGGTGGTCCTGGTGGATGGTCATGTGCCAGGATGTTTGACACCTTCAAGCTGTGGTTTTGATTTTTGCGGTGAAAGCATCTCTCGAATTGACAAAACATGTTTTCGACCCTGTGCGGGGGATTTGTGTGTGGAGAACTACAGAGCGTGTCAAATCCTTGATTCCAGGCAGGGACGTTGTACAATTTATACGGTATACTTCTCACACCAAGGCGTTATAGCCATCCCAAAGAAAAGATCGGAACTTCGAGCCCGAAGTTCTTGGGCGTTCGTTTTGATCTTCTCTCCAAGCGTCTGATTCTCTTCCAGCAAAGCCAGCACTTGGAGATAGGAGTCCGTGCACTCAGCTTCTTGTGCCACCTCCAAAACACTGCGACCCTTTGAGGTCTTCTGCTTTTGGTTGGCCCCGGCGCGAAGAAGTAGGGAGACCATCTTGGCATTGCCACTCTTCGCTGCCAGGTGCAGGGGATAGAACTCTTCGGGGCCTTCCACGAAGTAGGACTGAAGGACTGTCTTCTCCTTCTTCTGCCGCGCGTCCACATGAGGGCAGTTGTGCTTCGTAAGGAACCTGCGTAGCTCTTCTCGCCTCGGAGCTCCACCCGACGCCGAGCCGACCGGCCCGGCCGACTGCACCGATGACGCCCCGACACGGCGCGCAGAATCACCGTGATGATGTTTAGAAGCTTTTGAGGGATGTGACGTCTCATCAAACATCGAGGTGACCACATGTGAAATCACCCTCCAAAGGGGGACGAGGAGGCTGCTTTTGGTCTGCTAGCCCTAGGGTGGTCCCGAATCCTAAAAACCCGTAGGGTCTTCAAGACCAGACATTCGACACTTCTACACCGTTTCGATCCGTTGGTGTCGAAACGAGTGGCTCCACCCTCCGCTTGATACGGCGCTGCAAACAGCCTTTGGTCACCACTGGCTGAGCCCACTCCTCCGGCAGATCGATGCTCGAAGCACCTGGGTGGGTGGTCACGGTAGTCGAAAATGGTGGAAAACCTATGGAAAAAAACGGTGAAAAAAACATGTCTAATTCAGGAGGCCAGATTTTTGAGAGGAGGCAGAGGACATGGAGTGACAAAAGAGTGGTTTTAGGAAGATCCTGAGAAGCTCGCATGGATTCGTTCTATATGATTTCAGGTTCCAAATCCATCTTTGAGGCGTTCATACATCGTCGCATAGCAGCGAAGGAACTTCTCCAATGGAGCTCAGGCCCATTGGCCGACACACGGACAAGAGGGACTCACCAGAATGAAGCACGACATAATCACACCTAGACCTACACTTACAGTACACCCATAGTTCATCATGGTTCAGCTGGACCTAACGAAAGAAGAGCTCCCTCCCTCCGAGCCAAACAGTGGGCCCCGCAGGGGCTGGCCACTTCCTCTTCACATCAAGTGGCGGATCCTGCGGCTTCTCTGTGCTGTGCCATCCTTGGATGCGTTCGGACTGCATGGTCCGAGCAGGGGATGATCACATCGATCCGCAAGCTTCGCCGCCACCGTGGTCAGCTCGAAGTCAGGACACGCCCCATCGCCGAGCTCCAGGAGGAAGGGCTGAAGAGCCTGAACATCCTCCAATGGATGTGACACCGCCATGGCCCGTGCATGCGATCCACTCGGGCCAAAAGCGGAAGGTTTGGAATGCAAGGAGGCACTTGGACAGTGTGCGAATGCATGTGAAACAAAGGGATCAAAACAAAGAGAGCTCCATCTCTGTTGTATCATCTGAGTTTAATCATAGTTCATCCAATGGGCTCTCAGCCAACGCAGCAGCTAAGACATTTCTAGAAATCTGGGAATTCAATCCAGCTTCATTCAGCTTCATCCGCAGAACTTTCCCCATTCATCCTTCCATTTCCCATATCCAATCCATTCCATCTCCATCCCCATCTCGATCATCTCCCACTTCTTCACTCTAAGCGGCACTTCTTCTCCCAGCTGCTCCGCCTGCTCTCTCCCCGCCGCCGTCAGCCGCCGATCAACGCCAAAGAGGTGGCCCAGCCAGCGGAGGCCTCACAGCTTCCAGCGGCGACCGGCGGAATGGGGACGGGCGGCGACCAACGCCATGTCCCACGGAGCGCTTTGGTCGCTTGGAAGAGCAGGGAAGGACTTGTGGGACAAACTTGGGAATTCTTCACTTAAGGGTGTTGCTGCTGCTGCTGCTGCTGCTGCTGCTGTTGTTGCTCTGATGGTTTCGGCTGTAAGTATACTCTGGGTGGGTTGATGATGTCTGGTGGGGTGTGAGTCAACTGCTTGGATGCTAAGTAGCTCCCAATCTTTGGCTGCCTCCCTCAAGCTGAAACGGTCAAACGATCAACGGGTGTCTTGCTCCGAGTCAGTTAGGCCTCGAAAACGATCCTCCCCTTTTTCGCATCTTTTGTGTGAACCACCTCCTCTCAGCCACAAGGGATCAAAACAAGACCCTTCTTCCAGGGCATCATGTCTGATCAAATACGACCGCCAAGGGAACGGGCACACCAATGATTGGCGCATGACGTGAAAAGGGCTGGTGCTTCTTGAAACCCCAAGAATGCGGATGTTTGTGATAAACTCATTTCTACTTGGACATCACTTTGAATGCGATTGCTGTCTTGAACAGTGAGACGACACACCACTGACCAAAGGGAAGCACAATTGAATGGAGGTGTGAAAATTTACTGAGCCAAACCCTCGTCATGCATAAGTACCACTTGAGGTATGATCTATTTGAACAAGTGTTCCCCATCATGCATGACATTCGAGTGTTTAATCTTCCCCAAGAACAGCCCGCAGCAAGAGTAAAGTGGCAGCCGAGTGGCTTGTCGCGGAAGAGTAGTTGTGCTCACTATGACCATGGCGGATCAAAGCAACACGCTTGCTCATTGAGAAAAGCTACCAGTTCCCACAGCCAATGAGGGTCTTATGATACACCTGATTCTCAACATGCCCCGCAAATTGATCTGTTTGGGCGTCAGCTCTGAGACCGTCAGCTCTTTCATTCAGAATCCTCTGCTGCACCGGTGGTTTCAACCGGAAATTTGTCCCGGTTGAGGCGAAAAACAACATCACACGACATCGGAGGGTCAGCAAGTTTCGCGAGAACAAGCGAAAGACATCCGGCAAAGCAAGTGAATCTCACCAAAAGAAAAAGGCAGCAAGAACCCTCAATTCGGAAAGTCGCAGTGTCGGATCGCTTATATAGTTACTTAGCTTATTAAAGTTTAAGGGTTAAATATGTATATATATATATACTATATACTATAATTGTATATATATATATATTTCACACAAAAGGGGAGAGCTCACGGAGGTGTTGAAAGCTCAATAAATGATTGACTTCGAAGCTTTGACGTCTCTCTGGTTTCATGTCTCTCTTCTTCAGCCAAAAGGTCCACTCCGCTGCGCAGGCTGCGGTCCCAGGTCGGCACTGGACGGGACCTACGTTGGCCCCTTCAGGGAGCCAAGCATGAACCCAAATTGGACTGGTGCGACCCGGAAATGGATCCAATGGAATCTCTCTTGGGGGCTCTTTCCCTTATTCCCTACTTTCGTCGCACCAGTTTTTGAGAACTGTGGTCTGCCTCAAGAACGGGAATCTGCTCAACCCCTTGGCTCCCATGTACTCCAGCACGGGTAGGATTTTATTTGGACAAGAGAACTGCTCCGTGTACTCCAGTCGCGAAACAATGAAGGTCATCCGCCCTTGTGGTATTCGCTTTAGGTCGTTTCGGTGGAGCTTAAAACCAAGCCATCAACAGCACATCGGCACCTCCTTCGCGGGCTAAATTCTCCACTTGGACCATCTTCAAGGCTGTCTTCTTTTAATCGGCAGGAACAAACAAGGACTGAGAGTTGTGACGTCGTGCAATCAATCGGAAGTGCGTTGTGGGTGGAAAATCCCCTCACACGTCACGTCGTTGATCTTTTGGATCACACCAAATCACCCTGCGAAGTTTGCTGGATCTGCCATCAAAACTCATCAAGCCCCTCAAATCCCTCCAAACCCTTGCATTGTGTGTTTAATCCTTTCCTATTTCCCTCCCGGCTTCTTCGCCACTGATCCGCACATACCCGAGCGCCCAAACCACCTCCCTCTGCAACTCAGCCTGCGCGCGCCTCAGGGTGCAAGGCACTCGGCGATCAAAAAGAAATGTAAGTTCTCCCGGCACCTTTCTTTTTGATGTCGGTTCTGTTGCGTTGGTTCCTTCAATGTGTTTGCCAAACCCCGGCGATTTAACCAAATCTGCCAAAAGAACTGATCAAATTGGATTACCTGGTATGTCACAATGAAGTCCGAACAAAAACTTCGGTTTCTTCACGATGTCATGAACCTCCCACGCACCTGCGCCCATATCTTCCCAGCACCAGGCGCCCCGTCTCACGGAGAGCTTCGCTGCTGGTGAGTTTCAATTTGAGATCTTGGACCTCCAACACAAAATGCAACATAAAGCGAGACAAGAAAATAGGATGGGAGTGGGTTCCAGTACCAAACCCATCCAGATTCTTGTGGTGGTGATCTACGTCAATTACTCTGCTTTGGCATGCGGTTACTGGTGCGATCCTACTCTCAACAAAGTCTTTTGGTGTGTTCAAACAGCTGAATGCGCACACGTTGCCAAACCATTGGCGCGGCATTCTTTGGGCAATTAAATTTGCGTCTATATTTGGTTCACACAGCGGGGGTCAATGCACCAAACCAGCGCCACTTGCCTCTTTCTGCTGCTGCGACTCCACCCTGCAGGCGCGTGTGTGGGAATTGGGGGGTCGAGCTGACAATGAGCATACTGCAGCGAAAGCCATTCCCCGCCCGTGTTTGCTTCTGCTGCTACAGTACGAACTCAAAAGGCAAACTATATATCATGAACTACCTGTGCGTTGGGGATTTGAAGACAGAACCTGCAATCTTTGGAGCTTTGAGGACACGCAATCCAACGAACTGTTTCGGAGTCCTGGCCCGGTGCGTGGTAATCGCTGCTTCATGGAGGCTTTGGAAGGCGAAGAAACCAAGAGCCCTAAAGCGCCATCTGCAGATGCGCCTTGCCAGGCGGGCCCGCAGCTCACTAGCATCACCTCGGAGTTGCCAAGGTGAAGTCTGCGCCATGACCATCTCTATGGGGCCTGTCAGACCTTGACTTTGCTCCAAGAAGGCAACTGGATGGACCTGGACATTGCCATGTTGCAAGGGCTCGACACAGCTGGCCCACTCTATCAGGCTGCCGCCAAATCTTCTGCTTTGACATCTGTGCAAACGGCCGCATATGTTAAGGGCTGAGCTGCTTGCCGCACAGCTTGCGGGCATCTTCACGACCATATGAGGATCCGTCTTCTTCGACCAAAGCGGATGCCGTGCAAAGCAAACGCGAAGTCATCGCGGGTGTCGCAGTCATCACCGTTCCGAGGCGCCTGGGCTCTGATCCTTTGGATCTATATAATGGGAGCTTTTTCGAACACAAACAGGCAGTGTCCTTTCAGAGTGATGCTTTTCGGTGACGGCGCCAAGAACGGATGCCTGGCTTTGTCTGCCCCCTTTCGAAGAAGAGAACCGACTTTGGGAAAAGGTGACTGGAAGAAACACACTGCGTTTGGTTGATCTTTCCTTCTCTCCTTCTCTTGTTTAAAACCTCTACGTCAACTGTTTCCCGCATCGGACCATCAACAACGATCAAAAGTTCCAAGGATGGATTCACCAAAACGATCCGGAAACCCTCAGTGGCCGAAATGGACCCTTCGTTTTTGAGACGTTGATTGTGAGATGGAGGTGAAACCCCGTTGTACGTAACACTTTGCCAATCTCCTCCACAAAACTAGCTTGACAGGGTTACAAGTTACGAGTTATGACCTAGTTGGCAAGATCTCCCACATCCAGATTTCAAGAATATGATCATTTTCCAACCATAACCGTGACTTCAAAGTGGTGGGAATTTCCTTATTAAAAAGGATCCTTCCAAAACAGTTTATCTTTAGACGTCTACTGGGTCCAGGCTCGGCTGCTTTCAATTTACAAGTTCTTGCTCATGGATCGTCCCGTCTTTCGGCCAAGGCACGTTCCAAGCAAACTCGCTGTTCCCACAAGCTGCTGTTGAGCCGTTCCCGGCGTTTCAACTCCTAGCGTTTGGCGATTTCGACGCAGAGCGCAGCCCGTCCGGTCACCCTGGGTGGAGAGGAGGCTTCAACCCAACGAACGACGAAATCGTCACCCAATGTCACCGACCTCAGTGTTTTGCTTCGAATGAGGCTAAAAGGATCCGTTTTGAGGTACGGGAAATATCGGGAAATGGTCCTAGACCCCTAGAATGCTACTCTTCCGCTGTTCACATCCATGTCGCCTGGGTTTTTTCATTTCGGGCGCGCTGAGGGATGGTCAAAATCCGTTGATCCACGATCAAGAGGACATGGGTTTCGTTGGAGCTCTTGAGCCTCGAGCAGTGTGGTTTTCAGGTCATATCCATCTTCGTAACCAAACACTGGTTTTCGCTTCAAGACTGGATTGCGCTTGGAGTGATTCACGAGTCAGCTATCGCCTGTGAAAACCTGGGATCTACGCCACTTCCCATCAACCTCTTAAGCTTTAGCCCGCCTCTGCCTGCGCCTTGCACAGCTGCGAGGTCCGCTGGAGTTCTGAACGCTCTCTCCTCAAAAGGGCTCACGGAAACCTTCTTCATCCAAGTCCTGTGGATGTGCCCCCTCTGTCGGGGGCGGTTCTATCCAAAATCAAAACGTTAAATTCAAGGAAGTGCCCCAAAAGGATAGCCGTCATTGGATAGGCAAAGCTAGCTCAGAATGGATAGGCAGAGATGGATGTGTCTTACACAATGAGGGAACACTTAGCCGGTGAATCCGCAAAGTATGTCCTTTCTGAACGATCCAAGGGTTGATCTCTGCTTCAACAACTTCAGCTGAATCTTGAGACATTTGCCTCCAGTCATTTCCACACCAAGTGACCATTCACACATACATACTAGTTTCCTTTAACCTCCCAAGGCAGATTCGCTTCTTAACATGCCAGGTACAGTATGTCAGGACCAGGTTGTCTTTTCACAGTTGGCTACAAAACGACTAAAAAATGCATGTCTCAGGTATATATGTACAGGTGTTCTCCAGAGTAACTAACCACTGTTTTTGTAATTATTGGTCCCAAAATGTAGCATGTACAGCATCGGTCTTCTAAAGAGGACTGAAAAAGGCACCTCCCATTTGAGCAAAACCAAGATCCCAGTTTGACGAATCTCGCTGACTTCTTGGGCACCGTGCAAGAGCTGCTCATGCAAAAGGTGCATCTCTTTCTCCTGTGCACCACCAGAACAAAGCAGCAAGACGACGACGATGACGATTACTATCTTACTACTACTAAAATTGTTACTATTACTAATACTACTACTATTCCTAAAACTAAGACTATGACTATTACTACAACTACTACAACTACTACAACTACAACCAGAACTACAACTACAACTAGTACAACTAGTAGTAGTAGTACTACTACTACTACATCCGCAACCAACAAGCAGGACAGCAACTGCAGCAACAGCAACATTGGCAACTTGACATCTTACACAGTGTAAAACTTACACAAGTGCCACATTCAATACTCCCCCTGAGATAGCTCTGCACTTGCTTAGCAACATGCCCAAAGTCCAACGCAAAAAAAGATGTCGTTTTGGAGATACAACTCGGCAACAATAACAAGACGGGATGGTTACAGAAAACACCTTAAGACCTTGAGGAAAGCTCGTCAGCAAGAGGCAAGTTGCGCAGGTGTTCAATGCCAATCTGGCTAAATGTGGTTTTGAAGAGTGAATCCAGATAGGATTAGAAAGAATTAGAAAATTCCCTACTATATAACATAATGCCTTGAATTGAGGTTGTTTTGTACGGCCACTCTTGGGAGTGCACCCATTCAGCGGGTTTCTCCTGCAGCGCCACGTTGTACATGGCAGCGCCAGCTGTCTCCTGCAAAGGCAGGCAGTCCAAAAAAGACGGCCAAAGTCACTGGTGTCAAGGACGCCTGCCATGGAGCCAAAAGATTCTTAGGGCGCAGCGAAAACTTTGAAAAATGGCTCTGAACGGTTTCTGGCTTCCAACCCTTCGTTCAATCTGGAAGATCCAACCAAAAAGGTGAATCACATGTGAGACGCGTCACCAGAGCTGTTACAGGGTCACAAGCTCTTCGGTCGGCACATCCAACTAATCCCTTCCGAATTCGAGATGGGTTCCATTAGGGGGTGTGATTTCTTGACATGTCCAATTGCCAGCTATGCTACCACTGTCTCAACATGTCTCAATCAAGCGTGAAACTACGAAGGCCATTCTCTGAACCACGGGGCAGGACATCGTAAAGGGCTTCCTTCGGCCGCAAAGGGCTTGTTGAGACCGTTCCGGACTGCTCAGGATGCAAATCACCAACCCCTCAAAGTGGGATGTGCCACGACCCTGTTCTTCCTTATAAATGCTCCAGCTCTAGCCCAAACGAGTTGCCAGAGCCGCTAGAGCCACTGGATATCGCTAGATCCTCCGTTCCCTATGGCTTTGCCCGTATGACAAAGCGAATCCTTCTGGCATAACCATCCAAGGCCCAGCCGTATCATCTCCGTATCATGCAGATTCACACGGCGTCCCGGTTCGTCGAAAGATCCGTTCCCAGGTCCACGGACCGCTCCTTGGATGCAAGGCTGGCCATGGCCATCTTGGCTTTCTCGGAGATCTGGGAGATCCTTTTGGTCGAAGGAAAAGAAGATGAAACTCTTTGGGTCTTTGAGGCTCTTTGGGATTCAATATGATTCAATGATCATTCGAGCAGTCGTCTTTTGGGAGAGCCAGACAGACCTGTCTGGTCTGTCTGGTCTCTGTGGTCGCGTTGTTGGCTGTTTATACATACGTCTTTGCGATGGGTCGATCGTCATTGAACTCATGATCCCATCATTCAGCTCAATGGCCAGCTCTGAGAGAACGGTTGGAAAGGCCTATCAATTTGAGGATTTGGCAAGTCCATGATCTGTCCCCATGATGATGTGGCCACCGATCATTGCTTCTCGTCCCGCGGGCTGGTCCGGCGGGCTTGTCCGGCGGGCGAGGTGGTCTGTCCAGAATCCACGTCTGATACAAACGTCTGGATGTTTGGAGTGTCATGTGTTGGAATAAACAGTTGAAGCCTTTGACTTGAACTTGAGCAAACCAGTACCCCTCTGCCATCTCGGATCTCGTGGCCCAAGAAAAAGGTCGCCCTGCTGGGGGAGCGGCTGGGCACCTCCACACTGCACCAGGGTAGAATGGGTAGAATAGCATGTGGCTTCCACCAAAGGCAAACTTGCAGTAACGAGTGCTTTAAGGGAAATGGTGTCTTCTGTCGCCTGGAGACTCCGCCAATTGGATTCACTCCGCCAAGAAGTCTCACCATGATCCATCCCTGTCGTCCGTCCATGTCCTTCGGACCTACAAATCGGGGCCAAACTCGACACAGAGACACAATGTTTTTGTTCGCCGATCCTGGGCGGTTTCCATCTTCCCATCGCTTCTTGGAAGCGAAGGAGGACTGCGAAGTTTCCGACCACCTAACCCCGGTGGGCTTGGGTTTCCATTGCCTTCTGTCATACTTCAGATTCTGCAGAACTGATTTTGCCCCAAAGTGAGAATCAAGACACTGATGTATCATCGTGCCTGCAAGGTTGAATCTTCTCAAAGGAACCCCACCGGAGCCTTGATCACTCGGATGTTTGTTCCATCACGAAGCCTCACAGATCCTGCTCTGCCGACCAGACATCTGTGTGGCACCCGTGACTTCCGCGGCAGATCGACTGAGGTGATCGACTGAGGAAACCTCCGGAGAAACGGTGGAAGCCGAGAGGAGTCCGCGCTGGCTGGTCCTCGAAATCGGATCTTGGGAGTTCATTGGGGTCCATCTGGCGAGCATCCACTGGCTGGTCTTTGACGAATCGGACCGGTCTCTCACAGATGCTTCGAATGTTTCTTATCTAGATTGGAAGAAAGCCCAACTGAGGCAAAGGGAATGCCAACTTCCAAAAAACCGTCAGATCTGGATTGCTGATGCCTCAAGTAGAAACTGGGGAGTGTGATCCCGAGTTCTCCCTGATAAACTCACCAGGAACTCCTCAAAAACATCGTGGAAAACAGCCTGCAAAACTCGCACGTCTTGGACTTCGGTGCGATGTCAGAAACAAAAGAATCACAGATTGATTTATTTAGTGGTTTTGTAATGTTTTGTATATCTTTGGTTCGTTCCAGAATACCATCCCGCCAATTGCCCTGTCGTTGGGCTCGTGAGCCTCTCTTATTCATTTACTTCTACGTCGATGGCACCTGCGATACCTGCGCCACGGAAAGCACATTCACCTGGACGTCCTGCTTTCGGACGAGCTGAGAATAATTCCGGAGACAGGGCAGTGCCGAAGGAGGACAGATGCGCTCACCACTGTACCCACCGAAGGAGCATACAAAAGCCTTTGGGTACAATCATGACCGGTACGGCAATGAGTTTCTCATGGAAAAATGCAAGTGTTCATGGATGAGTGATTCTTTCAGACCCCTTCTTGATCATGGGCCTCGCATGGGCGTGGGTCAAAAGTGGAAAATGGGGCTTTTGCCCTAGAGACCTCAACCACTAACTACCTTGTGAGAAATCAGTCAGGAAGCAACCGTAGTCTTGACCCTTTTCCCGTTCCTCCTGACCACAGGGGAGATCAACATGGGCCCTTTAAAGACTTGGACGTCCCCTACGAAGTCGGAGACGTCACCTTTTGCACCTTCATGTAGGAAACCACTTCAAAAATACCTACCTTTAAAGCCTGCTTGCTAAATAGTTGAAGGTTCCAGAAATCGGCGAAGACGGGCTTCCTCCCCCAGCACTGCACCGTCAATCATTTCTTCCGGCTCATGCCCATGAAGGTGAACCGGGACGCCTACGCGGAGCGCCCAGGGTCGACGATTTGGAACAACACGAGCGCGGGCGCGTCCAACAAACCAAATGGCTTCTGAGAATCTAGCCCTTCTTAACAGGACATATATACTCATGTCTGTCTTCACAAAAATGTGAAATTCAAAAACAAAAAATGAACAATGTGCATTCGGGCATTCTTTGTACGATGTGTCACATCGAGTTCAGCGTGTGACTTCACCAGGCCGCGGTGAACGCCAGGGAATGGGCCGGTGAAAGGGCCAGACTGCGCTTGGCGCAGCGAGCTGCTGTATGGCTTCTTCTGGACAAATGCACAGGTGAACTCGGGGTGAACCATATAAGCTTCGATTCCCCCACACCAAGCCCGACTCCGGATATATATGCAGCCCATTGCAGCCCTCAGATGCCCGAAGTGGCGAAAACAACAGGACGCTTAGAAACCCATTAAACCGAACAGAAAGCACTGAACTAGCTGATCCAATTATCTAGCCCCGTCTCGACCGAAAATGAAATCAGAGTGCCGTTTCTAACCCAATTGACACACCATTCGGGTGATCTTATCGGTCGCAGCAAAACGCCCCACAGGCTGCAAGAGGCCGCACGCAGCGGCACAACCCCGTTGTGGCCTTCTTGGTCGCCGCTGCTGCAGCCGCCTGGCCGGTTTTGAGAGTGAGTCGAGAATGGGTGCCCTTAAGCCACAAAAAGGTAGTGAAGAAATGGAGTTTTGCATAGTTTTGCCAACAGTTCAAAAGGTCTGGCACGCAAGAAAGAACGTGTTGTCCAAACAACGATGGCAGCCATGAGCGTGTAAGTCGACCGACTCTATTGGTGCGTTCTCTAAAACTTGGGATTCTCACAGTCTCTCGTTTTCCTTCCAGTGGATTCCGAAGCCCGGCACCCCAGGAGCTCCAAATCCCATCGAACAGCTGGGAACAGCTGTTCTCCTCCAACCGATGGGGTTCGGGAGCCAGATCGGTACTTCTCTTGAGACCACGAGAAGGACCGGGTTCAATGGAAGGAGTGATAGTGCAGTGACCAATCTTTCATCTAAAAATTAGGGGAACCGCAAAGCCAATGGGTCCTCAACTTCTGTAGAAAGCGGACGTGTCTAAGTCTGACCATTCATCCCCGGACTCGGGAATGTTTACAAATGGACTTTGCAAAATAAAGTCTACCATGCGAGGCTGGGGTGCCTTCTTTCTTAGTCGTATTCTTGACGAGTCAAAACGAATTTGAGCATCCGAAAGAAGATCAAAAGGAATTGTTGTGTTTAAAGGGCTTCACCAATGCGGCTTTCAGGCCTTCAAAGTGGGAGAGCCTTCTGAAGCAAAATGAGGCAAATGGGACCTCTCTAAATGATTTGGAAAGGATATGTGAGCAAATGTCCCGTGTCTTGGCGAGAACAGCGCAGGTCCTTCGTGATATGTCGAGCGGAAAGGTCGCGTGACGCGTCACGGTCGAGTCACGTGACGCGGTTGGGACGGTCGCCGTCGCCGTCGCCCCCCACCTTAGGCTTGTCACCACTGAGCCCGGAGGTCTCACGTTGGACCTCCCGAGGGCGAAGGGATGGCGAAAGCCGCATCGCCCCCACCAGCGAGAGAACTTGGAGGCTGGTGAAGGAGGGTGTGTCGAGGGGTGGAAGTGGTTGGAAGATGTTGGAAGTGGATGCAAACCCACCAATCTTCACCCCCAAATCGTAACGAAGTGCCCCAGTTTTTGCCATTCACCAGGTTTGGTCACGACCTGCTGGTTACACGTATTGAAGGGAATAGATACCCACAAAGGACCACTGATCAACTACAACACGAAAACAAAAGTCACAGTTGGTGACTCTGCGCAATCCCATCAAGAAAGTCGTCATAAGAGTCATAGTCCAGCGAAGGTTCGCCACGATGCTTTCTGGCATGACCCGCTTCGACTCGCGACAGCCAAACTGCTGAACACATGGAGAATACATGGAGAACTCTCGCGCATTTCATGTGTTTGGGGGAGTCAAAGACTACCAGAGTATAGTCGTTCAGGCCGGGGGGCCTGAGTTCCTGCACTTCCTTCCCGCCCCAGAGACATGTCCCAAAAACCTCCGAAACGTCGGCGTCCCACCGAGCCCCCGACCCGCCACCCGTCGAACGGCCGAGGGAGATGCGAGAGGCGGGCGCGCCGCGCCGCGCCTGCGGAGCAGGATCGGACCCACGGACCTGAGGAATCGCACGGGAGCTGATCAGTGTACTGGAGACGAGGGATTTATAGAGAGAGAGAGAGAGGGAGAGTCATATATATATATATATACAGAGGGAGAGTCATGCCTGTGGATGAGGGAGAGAATCATATATCTCCAGATGGTTGTGGAGGATTCACATATATGATTTTCTTGTTCCAAGTTCTGTGAGTTTCCTTGGCTGTGGGTCATGGCACTCAAAAGACCTTGGGCTTTCTCTACATGGTGGGTCCAGGGCTCCAAGTTTTGACCTATCCCCATGTGGATTCGTCTCCAGATGAAGTATGGTGTCATCACATTCAATTCATGTGAGATTCAGAATCCACTTTCATTTGGATTCGTGTAGACCACCAGGAGCTGACTTGGCTGACTTGTGCCATCTCCTCTGGTTCAGTCCAGTAGCTGGTTCTTGTTGCCTGCGCTTTTGGAAGTCTTTTCTTGCTCTGCCGGACAAAACTCCCCAAACTCAACAGCAGGTCCGTCGGGCAACTTTGGCCGACTCTGTCAGTCCAAAATCGGCTGTGTATTGGAATAGGAAGACCCTGACCCGTCC